TCGCCCTAATATAACGCGCTAGAATAAGATTTCTATATATCTATGGAAAAAGTTTATGAATATCAGTAATCAGTAATTGATTAGTGATTTAATTTTGATTAAGGACTTAAGTAGGCTTCGTGAAACCGCCGCCTGTACCATAGCCCCGTAGCCAAGCTTTTATTGGTGGATTTCGTTTTTTAATTTTGCATGAAGTGAAGGTGCCTAGCGAGGGAGCGTAGCGACCAAGCCGGGGGGAGCTAGGTGTGTATATTAGTTGATCAAAATACTAATATGATCAATAATATGACTAGGAAAACCCCCTTCCCACACAGGGGATCGAGATTTTGCAATTTTTACACTAAAATGGCAGCAATCTGGTGCATAATACCCGAGGTGAAATTCTTGCAAATTTTCAAAAATGAAAAAACAAGAAAAAAAACACCTATATTCAGTAAAAATGTCTTCGACTATGGGAAAGTCAGTAATATTTGCATAAAATATGATATATAGGAATAAAGAATGTAAACGACATTGCTAAGAGTAAGAGGAGCAAGTACATGCATGAAACACTTTAGAGAAATAACTGCATGCCATCTTCACAGTGTCACTTTGTTTGTTGTTAACTTGTTGGGGGGGGGGAAGCCAATGAAAAAAAAATGTTTGTAGGGCTAACGAGGGTACGAAGCCAGATCAGACAGAGCGAATTTATTGGTGGGATACCTTCATACCATGATAAAAAGCATGCTTAATTTTCGTTTGGAGATTCAGAAGCCCCCCCCCGAAAAAAAATCCTCTTCCTGAGCAGTCTGAAGTGACAAATGCACACCATCTAGCATGTTTTTTTGTTGTTTTTTTTTGTGCTCGGGGAAGGGGGGTGGGTCGTGCGAATCCCCCGAACACCCCTCCCCCCCCCCGGCTACGGGCCTGTCTATATACAACATTAGTTATAGCCCGTAACCCGTAGCCCGTAGCCAGGGGGGGTTCGGAAGCTCGCACGAATCCCCCCCCCAGAGCCCCCCGAGCAAAAAAAAAAATTCCCATTTAGTGTAATAATTGCAAAATCTCTATCGTGGCCGGGAGGCGGAACCCCCTCCCCCCTCCCACGCCCTCCCCCCTTGGTCGCTATATGCTCCCTCGCTTGGTCGCTTCGCGCCCTCACAAAATGCCAACATTGAAATACGACCCCCCCTCCCAATATAAAGCTGGCTACGGGCCTGTATAGACTATACTATAGATATATAGATTATATATATTATCAAGAGCTAATAAACATCGTGTTATTAGCTCTTGATATCATATAAGATCTCTATATAGTAGTTAGTAGCTAGGGGCCGGATTCATCAACGTTGCGTAAAGTGTATTGCGTACACAGAGTTTCTACGAAGGAAGTATGCAAAGCTCGTAGGTGCGATTCATCAACGCAGCGTAGCACCTGCGTACGCAAATGTTGATGAATTCCAGTGTAAATCCACTACGCCATCGTACTGCGCTGGTTGTTGAGGGCCGCTGCCTAGCAATAACCAATCACACAGTGTGACACATAACCATGAGAACCAAACTGACGCCTTCTCTGTATTTTAAACCATATAGCTCCTAGCCATGGGCGTTAAATCCGGGGGATGGGGGGATGCATCCCCCCGCTCTTGAAGGAGGGGATGGCCTGTACAAATATCGCCCCTGAGATTCAAAAAAAAATCCTTCTTCCGTGCCCACACTTGAAAGTTCAGCTAATTATGATAATTTGGAACATGGGCAGGACCTAAATCATTTCATTACTGCAGGGCGTGGTACAGGGGGGAGGGTCCAGGGTCCGGACCCCCCCCCCCCTTCGCGTGATCATCCCCCACTCCTCGTACGGATTTTACGCCCTGGCTCAGCTCTGTCTACAGAGAGTGCGGAACGTGATAGTGCCTCATTTTCGTTTGTAGGATTGCGTTCAACACTCGATGAAAGCAGGCGCACCTAGCGTGTACGTGCGTGCGTGTGTAACGTACACGTGCGTGCGTGCGTATGTGACGTACATCGTGCGTGGTGCGCGCGTGCATGTGCCACGTGTGACTGCGTGTGCACGTTACACGTGCGCTGCGTGGCGTGCGTGCAATGCTGTTGCACGTGGTCTGTAGTGCACGTACAGCGTGGTTGTGTGTCACGTACACTCGTGCGTGCGTGCGTGCGTGTGCACGTACACGTCGCAGGGCTGCGTGCGTGTGTACGATACACCGTCTAGCGTGGTGCCATGCATGTGACGTGTGCGAGCGTGCGTGTGGCACGTACAATGGTGCGTGTGCACGTACACGTCACTGCTGTGTGATGTGACACGCTAAACTACGAATCCGCTTAATTATAACGAAACAACTGCAAGCTAGTGACAAAAGAAGTCGTCAAAGGCGCCGCCGCCTCTCTTGTGTAGTAATGTAATTATATTATTTATTTTTGAGTTGAGTAGTAATTTATATAGATGTTTTCTCAATAAGAATAATGCATGCTGCGGATATGATGGAAAGCACCTGCGGAAAATTGCCAAAAAATTTTCGAGGGTTTTAGCGGCACTCGATCAGTTGTGTGTAAAGTTACGCCAAGGCTTTAGCGTAAATTTTAAAGCTTTGATGAATCCACTAAAACGGTCCTCGCTTGCGTACGGGAAATTGGTAGCGACAATTTATCTGTAAGTAGCTGTGTTGATGACTCAGCAAACTAGAGCAACGTTCGATTGCGCTTACAGCCAGTATAACGTAAAAATAATTTGCGCTACGCAGCTTGATGAATCTATCATTCTATCTATCTATCTAAAAATCTATTTATCTATATATATATATATATATTATTATATCTATATACTATCTATCTTGATTGCTGTACTATCTCTCATTCTCTAAAAAATGAGATCCCTTTTACTTTTGCTGAGCAGGGTCTTATGTCTCCGCCAGGTACTGCCGGAACGTACCACTGGGTACGGTCCGGTATATTCCGAAACGTACCGCTGTACTATCTAATAGTAAGTATGCACGGACCGTACTCGCCTACTCCATTAACGAGTCTAAGGGAGTCGCATACGCCTATCCCTAAACGCCTAACCTACTCACCCTAACCCTAACCATATCTGATATCAGATACTTCATAGTTACCATGCAGTATTGCAGGGCGTGTACAGGATTTGTCACCGGGTGGGGGGGTTCTACACCGTAACCCAAACTTTGCGAGCACGCGAGAGGGGGTCTGGTCAAATTTTGCAATTAGAACCCTAGATGACGTTTCTCGCGAGCAGGGGGGGTCCGGACCCCCTGGACCCCACCCCCTGTACACGGCCCCTGCATATGCCAGCGTACCGTTCGTATTACAGACCGTACCAGGGTACGTTTCCGGCGTACTCTGACATGGGGACATAGGACCCTATGAGCTTTACGCTGCGTTGGTCGTTTTTTACTTTTGGTTTTTCGTTATATTTAAAGTTTAACATTTCATCTATGTCTTCATTTGTATCGGTGTACATTTGATGTCTACAAATTTGATGGCTATACACATGTTCACGTGCACACAACGCCGCGTTGGCTGCTGAGGTTGGCAGCTGCATGTCTGTATATTACTGCGGCCATTGAGCACACCACTTCTTAAGTAGAAAAACACTCATTTCTTTTATAGTTACGCAAGAACACATTTTTGCTTGCTACTGCCAGTAAAGTGGCTGAAAAACAAAACATATTACGTAACTCGGGATATCAGCGATGAACTTGCTTGTCCGAGTACCTTAATTTAGTAGCATCAGGTGGAGCCACCTTACAGGCTTACACCACTGACACCACTAATACCAGCACTATTAGAAGCGAAAATGTCAGAAGGCGGAGGAAAGGATCTGCATTGGCCAAATAATGGCGATGCATATGAACTTAAGGAAGTGATAGGTATGTAGGCCTAAACATTGTACTGTCTATGAACATTTTGTTTATTTCGTGGGTAATAGTTCTTACTAGGTGATGGACAACTAATAGTAATAACTATCTGGATGCACGTCAGTCGTCAACCACGTACAACACACAGGCACTTTGAGCGTTTCAATAAAATATAATGCTAAATAAAATTAAATACGAAATCTATTTACTACCAAAGTCTTAATGTTTCTCTACTCTCTTTCTCTTATTATTGCCGACAATTTCACATGTAAATGCCGTCCAAATGGTCATCTGCAACACACAAGTACACCGCACGCTAGCCACAAGTTTCCTTCTCGCTTAACACTACGTTGGCGAGAGGTCTACGAGGTCTACGACGTGTAACAGTCGGAAAGCCTGGTCAGTTTAACCGCACGCTTAGTGCTGCACACTGACACATAAATTATCATAGCAGGTAGGAAAGCGTGGCTGCCAAAAAGTTCGCTCGACGCTCGCTTGAATTTCATTACGATACAACACAAATATTCAACCATTCTACTCCAGGTTCTCCTACGTTGCGCAAACGGGGCGCCGCGCCCCGTTTGAGGAAAACTCCCCTGTTTCAATCGTCCCGCCCGTTTAAATGACCTCCGCCCCGATTAAATTCACCACAATAAAAGTTTGCCCGCGGAATCGATCGTCAAGAATTCCCATTCGGCCAGGACAACCAGCGCGTATTATTTTACTCGTGCCACGCATGCACTGCACGACAATACACAAGTAAAGAACAGCTAACCTGTCCACACACAACACTAACTGTACACCGACTCGGCTATCTTATATATACAAGAACCCAAATACCGTCTATGGTGTGGTGGCAATTTACGCATTAATTAGTGGTACGGTAAAAAAAACACACCTCCCGACCCGCTAGTTTTTTTCCCCTCCCTCCCCCCCTCCCCTCCCCTCCCCCTGTTTGAATTATCATCCTGGGGAGAACCCTGTACTCCATCTTTGTTTCTATTTTGAAGAACAGTTTACTTGTTATAAAAACATACTGTCTGTGTTCGTAACCGAGCTGTGTCGCGCGAAATCACACAAAGCCTGACGAAATTTTCGCGTCGCTCTCGTCGTTGCGCAGTTTATGTAAATGGCGCAAGTACAGGGCATATATACGGCGCACTGCATTTTGGGAAACTACCACGCTGCTTTCCAACTCCCGTGTGAGCCTTGTCAAAGCCGCCAGTGGAGTCGTTGCAAAAACGCTGCACGCGTTGCGGTCACGAAAAGCGCGCGTGGGTGTTTTCCTGATTCGCGACAGCCATTTCATACAACGCGGCAACGGACGCGAACGCGATGAATTTGCGTCAGGCTTTGTGTGATTTCGCGTGACACGCTCGGTTACGAACACAGACAGTATGTTTTTATAACAAGTGAACACTATTCTTTCAAATAGAAACAAAGATGGAGTAGAATGGTTGATATATTGGTGTTGTTTTCCGTAAAAATCAAGCGAGCGTATAGCGAATTTTGGGCAGCACGCTTTCCTACCTGCTTAATATTTATGTGTCAGTGCTTGCAGCAGCTAGCGTGCGGTCGTACTTGTGTGTTGCAGTATGAGAATTTGACTGACATTTACAGGTGATATTATTAGACGAAATAGAGTAGAGAAACATTTAAGACTTTTGTATGTAAATATACATTCTCGTGTTTTATTAATTGCTTTTTAACTTTTTTATTGTTATTGAGACGTTCTAAGTGCCTGGTAGAACACTCAACAGTCAACACCCACGCTCGGTGTATGATGATGAGGCTTACTAGCCGCAACACAACACACACATCACATGTGACTACGTGGCGAGACGAGACAGTCGTAGAGCCTAGTCGCGCCAGGGCATACGTTGTTGTAGGGTATAATTATATGGTGTGTTATGGGTTATTACTACTAGTACTACCACTAGTAAGGTTATGATCATGGAGTAATGATTTTTGCCGGGGTCGCAAAGCAAAATTTAATGTCAATGACTCGCCCATCCATAATCCAAAACAAACCACTGATTTTACTATTTTGTACACATTCCAATTTGTAATTTTACACTGAGTGGCTTCTAAATTAATGCACCAGTCAATTGAAATCCCGGCCCCCCAACCCCTGCGACAGGGCGGGCAATTAACGCTGCCACAGCCGGGATTTAACGCATATTTAACGACATAGTAGCCCAGGGTGGCCGGGAAATGAACAAGACGTTTTATCAGCGCGGCCATTTAGCCGTGATTTAACAATGAACAGCTCGCACCGGATGTATGGGACTCGGCGTTACAACGTCTGCAGTAGTTTACCGATTAATTGATACGTGTATTTGAAAAAGGTTTCACAGGACAGAAATTCACATAAATAAATACTTGGGCTTTACAAACCAGAATTTAGTTTTGTTTGGAATTTGAGAAATGATCCTCGGTTATAAGCGCTTTTAACAGACTACCTGCCTCTTATGGGCAGGAAATTGCTGTTTTTAATACTAAGGAAGTGTCAAATTCCCTGCCTTTTCCTAAGGGGTCGGGGGTCGGGGTTTCAATTGACTGGTGCATAATTTGTGTTAATTGATTTTAATATGAATTTACAGTTGCTAAATGGGAAATTCCAAGAAAAACGTTCACTCAAGTAAAAACATTAATTGCCTAGTTTCATGTAGATTGCTTTTAAATGAAGTCTATAAAGTCCTACTGACTTTCATCATAACACTGATGCTGAGGCTCACTGAAAACACAATTAAAACAAAAATATTTTTAGGTATATTTCTTTGACATGCCAGTGATGCCACTATTTTCTAGGCCACAATTCTAGGCATATTTTCTAGGCCACAATTAAAAAAAATCTTTGTTTAGCCCTCACCCAACCCAGGCTGAAAAGAGTATTGGGTAGGTAGACGTAGGCTTTTTAGCTCATGTATATTGACGAAAGTCAGATGCAGCTTGTGTAGAATCACAAAATGAGCGTCCGTCGCCGATCTGTGGTCCGTGTTTGTCCGTAGGGAATGACGAAGCCGTGTGTTCATTAACGTTGGGGAGAGACAAAGATCGTACTCCAGAAGAGACGCAGAATCGACATAGGGAACGGTACACAGATGGATTCCGCAGACGTGCTGGGGGGGGGGAAGGGGCGTCGTATGAAAGGACCTCGAGGATGACAGATTTTTAGGGGTCGAAGGCGCGGCCTTAAGAGAGTAGCAAAGAAGTGGAGTGTCAAGTGGAGGGGGGGGAATGAATAGATTCCTAGCGTTAACTTAGGGGAGATAGGTAGGAAGAGAGAGGAAAGTGGGTACGGAGAATTGTGAGGAGCACAACAGTCTCACATGGCGTGACCGTGACGACTCAGTGTAGAGAATGGAAAGATTCACATGTGTAGTGTGATGGGGTAGAAAAGCGCAATCACCAGCCGAATTGGAGGTCACAGGTCAAGGCAGTGGGGAAAGGATCAGATATCGGACACTTTTGCTGAGGACAATGGTCTAATGACGAGTGGAAAAATGTGTTTGTGGTTCAGCCTGACTACAATTTTTATCAGCTTTATTGAAAGGACCATGAATGTGCTGTGTCAGTGCACGTAGCGAAGGAGTAAAGTGTCTGATACTTTTGACCTACAGAGGAGGCATATCACGGATTTGTTGACTGTGAACAAGCGATGGTTTTTTTAAGTGCGCTTTTGTATGTTGGAAGAAGAGCCTCGTCCAGAGCAGAGAGCGAAGTCGACGCGCGAGAGACTAAAAGAAGGGGAGGAGAGAGAGCGAGACCACCACGTACCCAGACGATCCCGAAAGAGATGACGAGAACGGGATACCACCACTCCCCACCCTCATTTCCACCCCACCACTGCGCTCGCGCTTGACGGGAAATTCATGAGATGACATGATTGTTAAAGAATTACTATAATTAGGTGAAGGTAAAAGATCTGGAGAGGTGAGTTAAAAGTGAGTACAAGCTGTAATCTTGTATTACTGTTAATACCGGGCTATAGAAAGTCTATCATAGATTTGTAGATCTGGATGAGATTAAGTAGGAGATATCCTAGAATATTTATAGCTGACCTGAGCGCGAACGCGAGAGAAGGGAGTGAACGGATGAGAGAGGAGTAGTAGAAGAGAGAAGAAGCTGAGAGAGAGGACGGAGGGAGAGATAGAGAGACGAGAGAGATAAGACGTTAGAAGTAAAAAGAATCCGTCGTGAGGGGGAGCCCAAGAAAAGCATATATACAGAATGAGGAAGAGAGATGAAGGAAGGAGAGCAGAGGAAGGGAATGGGGGACTGGGAGAGGAGAGGGGAGTATGAGGAAAGCAAGTAAGTTGTTCTGATGTGTACTTAGGCGAGAGGGGTAGAGAAGGAGACAGCAGACAGAGATAAATAAATTGGTAAATGAATAGACGGCATTGATGGCTGTATGACAGGGGGAAGAGAGAGAGAAATAGGTGCAAGAGTTATGATAGCTTGGGAGCTAGCGATAAGCGTTTCGTTTCCTGCGCAAAAGGGAAATGGTTCCGGTATTGGCGATTATCACTGACTGAGAGAAATTATAGGTGCGATTTGGGCGGTGTGCATACGATTTATAGGTAAAATCACTGGCACTACTGTCGGCTGTCACAGTTATATGTTTAGCTTATAAAACCGAAAGCAAGGATGTTGATGACTTGCGACCAGCCCAGTTTCCTGCCCGTATTGATTGTCGGCTACTTACTGTATTTAAAGATAGTTGACCTGTTTAACTGTTTATGGTTTTAATTAGCTTACAGAGCTAATTAGGTTGGATTGACCCAGGCATGGGAAGTCTCAAATGATAAGTGTAATAACAACGAATGTATTAAACTACAAATAGTTACTAAGTCTTTCCTCTATTTTAATGGTCGGCGTATATATTAGCGAATATTACCGTTAATTGCTCGGTTCAATATGCTCATCTGAGAATACAAGTACACTAGCAACAACGCTGATTCTGCACAAACATACAATGAATAACAAGGGCTTCCCAAGTTGAGCGTCCACGTTGTGCGGATCCCTATGTGCGAAACACACTGTGGTTTTTGTAGCACGATCATGTACAACCGGCACGGTGACGGCACGCGCCACCACAGTAGGCGCACGGCGCGCGCATTGATGCGGTTGCCAGTGAGTTTATCAGACAAGCACAGAGCATATCTCCATTGAGTCTTTGTCCTACAGTACACGTCAGTTGAGCGCTGTCGCTCTGCGGCACTTGTTGATATGAATTGATGAAGTGTAATCATTCCATTTTTATAGCTGCACAACAATGTGTTTAGTGACTGTTAGAACAGAGAAAGAGTAAAAGAGCATGGCTGTCAAAAAGTGCACTGTTGTCAAAAGCTAGAACAACTAACATCTTAAGTCGTTCAGTCAGTTTATCAGAAGAATACCCGGCTACAGTACACGTCAGTTGAGCGCTGTCCCTCTGCGGCACTTGTTTTGCAAATTCAGCATGGTGTCTACATGCTCGGGTGTGTTTGTGTGGAGATACCTTTTATGTTGAATGTTTGTTTTGCTTGGTACATATATAATGTATTGCCTACAGATTTATATAATGTACAGTGATACAATTTGAAAAAAAAAAAGAATGGGAAAGGTAAATAAAAAATGTTGAGTCGGCCTTTTTTGGCGGGTCGGTCGGGTGAGGGCAAACAAACAATATTTTTATTATGGCCCTATTTTATGAATATAAATTAGCCAATGATCATGTTATAGCATAGTACCATATCTAAGGTTAGTAAGTACTTCATAAGGTAATAAATTCACTTGAATTGCATGTCATATGAATCAGACTCAGGACTGTTTTCTTACTATATACATGATGACGGCATAATTCCGTCAGAAGAAAGTATGATAGCTTGGAACAAAGTGGACAAACTTTCATCTCCGTTACGCACCATTTTTTAATGAAAGAAAAAGATGGTTGCCTAAATACATTTACAGTTGTGTTCATGGTCTAGAGGGTTATTTAAAGATTTGAAGTAGACAAAAACTGGCAACATTGTCATATAGCCATGAAGCTCACAGAGTTTTCATGATGTGTACAGTACAGTGAAAACCCTTGTCCGTTTTCTGTCATGTCCGTTACGGTAACTAAATGTCCAATCTCTGAGGAACTGTTCAGTAAAATATCACATAATTTGTCATGTACATCTCTGGCTGTCAAATGTTACTAATTCACAAAGTAAAACAAGATTTCTTACTTTAAATTTGATCTTTACTGAACATTTAATGTTAAGAAAACTGTCTGACTGTTATGTCCGTTACGCTGGAATTGTCCAAATTTACAATGCAGAAGTGCTACCGGGTTGTTGCATTCATAGATGCATTGTAGCTCTTCTAATGAATATACCACTTGAAATGCTACTGCAAGGATTCATGCCTCCACTCTAGTTGCATTCTCAAAGCTTAGCTCTACCAGTACCAGTGTAGCCTTTTGCTCCTGCTACAGAACTAAATACTACAATATATGACTAGAATCTCAGAAGAATGCAAAACACCACCATATACCATACACAATGACTCTGTGCTTGCTATTTTGAAGACTGCCAATACATGAATATATAGTCCCAAAATAAAGTAATTTGAGCAGCTACTATATTCAAAGTGTCAAATTCAATGAAGCTGCTCACTCTTAAGAGAAAGCTGCCATAACAAATCACACAGCTTGTTACAACATGCCATGCAACATATTCTCTGCTGTTGCTGTATCGACTACTAATCATGACATATCTACCAAGTTAAAATCACCAAAAAAGTGTAACAAACAGTTTGTTAGCTATTAAAAAAATTAATCAACTTCTCACTGTTAGACCATCTGGGTGAAAGCCAACCGTATTCGCGATGATGAGAAAAATTTAATCATCTTCTCACTGTTAGACATCTCTTTCGGCCAGCTTTGCAGTTTGTCTCAACACGAAGTATTATTTATGGTTACTACATGATAAGTCATTAGCATTAAGCCTGTTACACTCTAGTCCAAAAACGTGTTTTATTAATTATTTCTAATACAGTTTCCTGCAAGCTACCTATAACAAAAAGCTCATGAATAAAAACATGATAGTATAGACTATTAGTAGTAATTTACAATCAATAATCTTGCTTTGGACACTCAAGACTCTCTATGTACGATTAACTCCCTACCCTACTGTTGTTAGCTATCATCAGCTGGTAGTTCAGCTGGTAGGTAACCTGCAGATATTTGCTTGCAGTTGGTTGGCACTAGTGTCATCTGTGGGGAAAAAATTTAACATGGTGATCATAAAAAGTGTCCAATCATATTGTATATATATATGATCTTTGCTATCACAATGCTATTGCAATTGTAAACTTGTAGCCAATAGTCAGCCCTTAGTAGTAGTAGGCCTATACAGTCTGAAAGGGTTTGTAACAACAACCTACTTGATAGCCTGATAGGGTGTTTCTTCTCTGCAAACTGTTCCTCAGGTAGAAAAAATTACCAATGCAATCTTTATGTTGTGCTTTAGTGTGAGTATGATTTAATTATTTTACCAGGTTATGGAGCCACAGCTATTGTGCAGGCAGCTGTGTGCAAGCCATTCAATAAGAGAGTGGCTATCAAGCGTATAAACTTGGAGAAGTGCAACACGAGCATGGATGAACTACTGGTAGGTAAATTAAATGTGCTTGCATGTGCAGCAATCGGCATCATACAAAATATATGACTATAAAACATTCTGCTGTATAGAACTCAGTTATAGGGTTGTGTAGGACTGACCATATCTAAAGAGTTGCTTGCTTTCTCTTACAAACCGATGTGTAACTGAGTAGGCATCATATATGTAACTGTACCCATCTTCTAATTGAACCCCAACTCTGTGAGACCTAGTATGTGAGGTGTAATGCCACAGCTTTATGTAAAACCCAATTAAGTTTCCCCACATGTTCGTGACAAGGTACACATGTAAATATTTTCTTGGCTTGTTCTTGTTGCAGCGTGAGATTCAGGCAATGAGTCTGTGCAAGCATGACAACGTAGTGAAATACTACACATCATTTGTTGTCAAGGAAGAACTATGGCTTGTGATTGAGATTCTCAGTGGAGGTGTGAGACCGTGTGACAAGTTTGCCGATATTACCATGTTCAGCCAGCTAGACATGATCGGTGGCATTTTGTTGAAAATGTGAAATTCTGATTAACTTTAAGATAGGCATATCATTAAATTCTATATCTGAGGGATAACTCTGTTAAATGATTGTTTGGTGGTGATGTAATTTTGCATAAACTGGTTTGGCCTGTGATGTTAATGTTATACTATTGTATTTGTGCTTCATTAATGCCAATAAGCACTGGCTCTTGACCAAGATGGTCATGCCTGCTTCATATTGGTATTAAAAAGTTATACTCCTCTAAGAAGCAAAAAATTTGTTTCTTTTTTACCACCGGAATACAATGCCAGCATTAGCTAGGATGCATGATTTTGATAATTATTTTCAATAGATTTTTTGGCAACACCTATAAGTAGACCCCTTTTTCAAGGCTAGACTACTTCATCTCCGACCATCTCACCTTCCTGTCTGCGTTTCTGCTAGTGTCTCTTACCCCGAATGTAATCGCAAATTCCCAGAAACTCAGAAGCTTTGTGTCGTGCGCATCCTCATCTCTCGCTACGTCTGTTTCGCAATCAGGTTCGCTGCTCGACATCATCAAGCACAAGGTGAAGCAGGGCAACACGCGGCCAGGCGTCCTCGACGAGCCGACGATCGCCACCGTGCTCAAGGAGGTGCTCAAGGGCCTCGAGTACTTCCACAGCAACGGACAGATACATCGCGACGTCAAGGCCGGCAACATACTGCTGGGCGCCGACGGCACGGTGCAGATTGCCGGTGAGAGTGGATGAAGTCGCCGGTGTGCTCGCGACGCTTCTCCTCGTTGTTGTAGAGATTGCCTCGCCTCGCTCCGTCTCCTTTTCCGTCGTCGCCCGCCGTGAGTGGATGTCGTCCGTCACGGTCCGTGGTTGTATATCTCCTGCTGCCTCGTGGAGTTTGTTTGTTGTGATCCACAGTTACCCATCTGTCTTTTAATGTTTGTGGTCAGGAGTGATTGACCTCACTGAGGATGGGAAGATTTGACTAAGCAGGCAGTCTGACTCTGTGGAACATATATTCACAGTAAGACTACTATTTAGTGGAGTTACATAGCACATATGAAGCCAAGTATAACTGTGTTGATCGTTTGCCGTAATATGTGAGAGATAGTAGAAAACTACTACATGTATTGCAAACTCAAAAAGATGATTGTGAGTTAATTGATTGTTTCTACAAACTGAGCTGAGGGTAATTAAATGATCTAAGTCAGTGAAATGTCAAAGGCATAGATCCATATAAGATCGGTTGGTGATGCATTATATATAAATCATTGATTCGTGAGTCACGTGCACGATTCCACTACAGGGGAACATTAACGTGCCTGGCTTATGGTCGAAGGCAGCTAGTTACAAATGCCTGCTCTGATGTTACATTTAAAGCACTTGTTAAGCAAATCTTATTGGCTTGCACTAAACCAATTTCAATTTCATGTCGCAACTAACTTGAGCATGTGTTATGTTATGAGCGATCTCTGTTGTGCAAGTTCGTTCAACTTGATGGTCATCATTTGCAGATTTTGGTGTCAGCTCGTGGCTAGCTACTGGTGGGGACCGGACACGCCAGAGCAGTCGACACACCTTTGTTGGAACCCCTTGTTGGATGGCTCCTGAAGTGATGGAACAGGTGCATAGTATGTGTGTTTAAGTGTTGGTGCGTGGGTGTAGATGTGCGTGCTGTGTGGGGATTTGGGTCATTACCTCCGCCCAACGGAGTTGGAGGAGGTTATGTGATCGGTCTCGTAAGTTTGTGCGTTAGTGTGTTCGCGCGATCGATATTAGCGCATCGAGTCAGCGAGCCAGCCAGCGAGCGAGCGAGCGGCAAGCCAGCTCGTAACACATACATGTTACATTCTGGCGGAGGTATGCACTCTCCGTGAGTGCCCTCTGTCTAGTTGTGTGTGTGTAATGCACATGTCTGTGTTTGGCTGCTTGCAGATGCATGCAGGTTGTGGTGAGTGTTTATTCCTGTAGCTGTAGTGTGCTGTTTGTACGCATGTGTTTGCAGGTGCTTTTATGTGTGCACAAAGTTTGATGGTATTTATATATGTGTCCAGATGTGCTGCATGCGCCAATTGTATGTGTGGTTGCATGTGCATGTGTACGTGCATGCGTGCACATATATCTTGTGAGTCTGCGTAGTAATTATTCACTGGTTTTTTCTGTTTGTGTAATATTTTGCAATGTCCTGAAGCAATCGATTGCATGCAAATTACTTTTCTATATAATCAGCTGATATATAATTAATATGAACAATGGTATGTAAATAAATTTTATTTTATCATGTTTTTAATGTGCACCTTTGTAGGTCAGTGGGTATGACTTCAAGGCAGACATTTGGAGTTTTGGCATCACTGCAATTGAATTGGCAACAGGGACAGCTCCTTATCACAAGTACCCTCCAATGAAGGTAACTCAAAACCATTTTCCTACCTGACTATTACAGTGAGGGTTTCAAACAATTCCGTACCGTTCTTATATTTGTTCAACCATTACAATACTTAAGGGTGTTGCTTGCATAACAGCAAGTGTATACATCAAGGCTTACATGTTTAAGAACACTCGTACACCATTACTTTTATTGAAATATGCAATGATTGCACTTTTGTCTGATGGTACCAATAACAAGACAATTGTCTCGACACTGAAAAATGTGGCTGTATTATTTGCATTTTATATACCATAACAGCACAAACTCATGGTAATTTTATACTGGAGTAATCCATAATAGATGACATCTAATTTGTCCGTTTTTATTTTTCATTTTATTTGAGAGGTAACGATTTTTGCTCGAAAGCTCATTTAAATTACATATCGTTGATTTCTATGGTAAGATTAACTTTAGCAGGTCAGCAGGGTACTTGCATGTCTTCCTGTTTTAGTTACTTTGGTGTGAAATCATCAACACGCATACACCTTATATTCATTCCTGATGTCGCAGGTATTGATGCTTACGCTTCAAAATGACCCTCCAACTTTGGACACCGGTGTAGAAGACAAGGACCAGTACAAAAATTATGGAAAGTCCTTTAGAAAGATGATTGCTGATTGTCTACAAAAAGACCCAGAGAAAAGGTGAACATTCTTTTTGTATATGTGTGTATTTTGTATTTCTAATTATAAATGTACAAGTAGATAATGTATATTAACACTAATCTAGCTAGTGTCTGTTTTCAATAGTCTTAGTGCCAAAGTTACCATTATGTTAAGTTAATGTATATAAATCTTGCATTGTACAAGTTCTTCCCTTTCATTTGTAGGCCAACAGCAACTAAACTGCTAAAGCATGATTTTTTCAAGAAAGCAAGAGACAAGAAATACTTGTTGCAAACACTGATTGTTGGAGGCCCTGGTCTCCAAATCAGGACAAAGGTAAGTGTGGAATCATCATGATTTCGTGAACAAATAGAGACTCACCATGTTTCCCCAGTAGGCAGCAACTCTTCACCGACACCATCTATAATATTACTATAATTTTTCCAGTAATTACCACACATGCCTCAGGTTGACATTCGTATTCTCCGGCAGTGTTGATGTACTGCGATTTGTTCATGGCATAGTGAGATTTTATTTACATCCTGTCTATGGCAGTCACTCTACACACCACTACTGATACATCTTGTGCACATCATAAATGTTCTGTTTTATAAACGTCTATGTGTGCTTAATATTATTTGGATAAAGTGTTTTTTATCCTTTAAATTTTGCTACAGCCATTTCCGAGACTTCCACCTTTCATGCCACATGCTTTTTCTTATTGACTTTTATGGCTGTTAGTTTATATTTCTATATCACTCGTCACTTCGTTGCCATACTGGTTTTGGCAAGTACGGTATTAGTGCGAGCTGTATTTCCCATTTGTTGTTCCAGAAAGACCGCGAGCCCGGCTCCAGTGGCCGTCTACATAGAACAGCCTCTGGCGATTGGGTGTGGTCTAGTGATGAGGAGGATGAGGATCCAGTAAGTCGTCTTTGCCACTGGTCTCAGTTGCTTCCCAACACATAGCTGAATTTACATTAATTTACATTTTTTTGAATTTTGTTTTGCTTAGTGAGAGCTTAGAGACAGAGGCAGGTTGTGAGGTAGAGGATGAGGATGCTGATTAGGGTGGTGATGAGACAGACAGAAGTTGAGGAAGAGAGATGTTGTAGAGAGAGCGGGCAGACAGAAGTTGAGGTAGCTGATGACGTGTAGATATGGGACACAGAAGTTAAGGAAGAGAGGTTGTGAGATGAGGCAGAGGATAAGGCAAACGGATGAAGTAGTCATCAAGACAATGTTTTATTGTAGGACCGGCCACGTAAAACAAACATCATCGATTCCTCTGAACCTCCTGCTCCGTCCTCAGTCGGGAAGGCCAAAGACAATGTAACCGAGGCCAATGCTCAACAGGATCCTATTAACTTGATACTGAGGTTAAGGTGAGTGGGAGCATCAAGCCTGCCTGACATGTTCTGAAATGTCACTAGATTCTGTCATGAGAAAGTTGGAGTGCGGTCATATTAAATTAATGGAATTGTTAAACCAAGGTTTACCAAAGCAACAATAAGAAATTTTAGGATGAATTGTAACTGAATGTAATGTTTGACCAAGCAGGTAAACTTGTAAAGTTAAGGTGAAAGATAGCAATGAGCAAATTTGATTACCAAATTGTATTTAGCTGTAGATTTACTATTATATGTAAATAGTGGAATTTCCTCGGCATTTGAGTAATGAATGCACTAATTGGACGTGACTATGCTAATGCTGCATTTCTGCAAGATTACTTAGGGTTTCTGTTGATATTTTGTTTGTTTTATTAACTCATAGACACCGATTGAAATGGAACTGCAAATCTTTTCTTCATTGAAAAGTCTTTCACATCATATTTCTCTTGCTAGACTGTGAGTACTAGATGTGTAACATGGCAATGTACTGGCCCTGAGCTTTGGGGCTTGCAAGCTAATAACTGTTGCTCCGCAGGAATGACAAGCGTGAGCTGAATGATATCAGGTTTGAGTTCACGAAGAACAAAGATTCGGCCGATGGGCTATCTCAGGAACTAGTCGGTGCAGGTCTGGTAGATGGGCAGGACATGGTCATAGGTGAGCTGTGTACACCGTGCATTGCGTCGTCGCACAACTAACTGTTCTCTCAAACCGTTATGTGATAGTAATGTGTTTCTGTGTGTAATATGTATTACTCTGTATTACTCGCACGCATGCACGCACGCACAGGCACGCACCAGTCCCCCCCCCCCCCCCGAGTCCGAGTCCGCACCCCCTGAGTCTGAATCCGAGTCCGAGTCCGCGCCACCCGAGTCTGAGTCCGAGTCCACACCACCCGAGTCAGAGTCCGAGTCCGAGTCCGAGACCAGTTTTGATAAAAAAAAATCCTATCCTATAATTTCTACCTTAATCCCTACACTGAAACATAAAACCGTGAGTCTAAATTTTTTTATAAAATTTGAAATTTCTAGCAAAATTTCAAGGAGGCGACATTGTCAGGTAACAATAAAATAAGTAGACGAGATTATGGCGCGAAACTCTCAACACCCGAGATCACTCAACTGGCAAAAATCAATGTGAATAAACAGCTAGTTGCATAAATTTAGGTAGGAGTTTTAGTTTTAAATTCTTGGAAACTGCGTGTTTACAATATGTACAGTTATGTACTATGTAGTGGCCTCGAGCCGGCCTCAACCCGAGTCCTCGAGTCTGGAGGGCTCGAGTCTAAGTCCGAGTCCGAGTCATTGCACTCCGAGGCCAAGGCTGAGGCCAAGACCAAAGAAACCGGCCTCGAGACCTACAACACTGGCACGCACACACAGATGCACACATGCATGCACACACACAGGGCATGAAATTCAGTTTGTTGCACCAACCCAGAGGACTGGTAACAGCAGATTTTTAGCTCACATTGACATCGTCAAGCTGAGCTATTGCCATGGGTCATCGTCCGTCGTACGTCCGTCCGTCCGTCCGTCCGTCCGTCCTTCCGTCAACATTTGGCTACGGTCAATGATAACTCAGGAACCGTTTGACCCACATGTTTGAAATTGGGTATAGTTGTTACTGCTATGGGAGAGGTTTGAACACCCTATTTTTGAGCACGCCAGGTGACGTACTTTCGAGCCATGACAATGTTTTGGCAAAAATGGGAATTGCCATTAGTCAGTTCAGGTTAAACGGATTTTGCTCATTTTTGGTATGTGAATGAATAATGGCTAGGGGTTTTGATATTTAAAAAAAAATTATGCAAATTAGGTAGGTTTTAGCAATTATATAGCATATTATATAGACATGCAGATAACAGTCTGTGGTGTCACACTCGTCTGGTTCGTTTTACAAGATTTCATTGACAATATCTTTAATGCAAAATTGGTATTTCCTCTCCACCCTGCCGATAAAACGTCTATATTAGAGTAAAGTTTTACAAAACATGTCGGAACGCAGCATAATCTATTTATTTCGAACGCCATCGCTAAGAAACATCAAAGCGGGTATAGCGCCATCTACCGTCACAAATTGTGATTCATTTTGGTTTATAAATTATTATTGTGATATACAGATGGCAACCGTGTGCTACCGCCTAGAAAAACTCATACGAAGTAAACACTTCCATGCAACCAATTAACCTTTGACAAAAGTTGTGTTATGGGCAGGGAAACACCATTGTCACATGATATATAGCAGCTACGTGGAATAAGCGTATCCTCTCAATCTTACACGTTACACATCAGGAGCTCCGCTTTTAGGCAGTGCCTAAATCTGAATATTATAAAAACGTTAAAGGGCGATCATTTAGGTGTAACGCCATCACTTGCCCACATCTCAGACTTTCACATCTCAAACATTTATTTTCACATAAAAAATTACACATAATTATCAAGAGTATATAATGGGAGTTCTCCCCTTGCTCAATTAAAACTGACTTCTTCTCACTCACTTATTTGTGTCCTTTTTTGTGGTGAGCTACAGTGTCATTGACACTCATTACCAGTTCTCACCAAAATTTACTAGCCCTCACAAGTTTTCTTTGTCGTTTGAACCAGAAGGAACTTAAAATGAGAATTGGAATGATAATGAATAAAAATCCTTATATGCCCTTAATTAAATTCTTCCAAAATGAGTTTTACCTTTTTTATTTAAAGAATCACAATGATAGTAGTTATAAATAAAATCAAGAGTGTATAAAGAAGGAGAGCATACAATGGTGAAATGCTGAAACCATGTTGCAGTATCAGTCGAATTAATAAACTTTGTCCGTTTTATTTTGACGATTCTTTGCAGTATTATTGATCAGCTGTCCTACCTTGTTAACATAAAACAAACCGCATGTCCCTACGATGCCCCTACGCTGAGATAATGAGCGGTGAAGATCTGGTATTTTCGCCGAACACCGACTCGAGATACCTGCTGACTGCGACTGTCTCTCGCTTTGAGATAACTTCGGGAAACCTCGCGTGTTTCCGTCAATGATTGACAAATGGAATGAATGACGTCTGTTATTGATTGCAATAGTGATGACCCCCACCTGTGCCCGCCTCACGCTGGATGTAGTAAACTCTGTAGTACTGACGTAATGAGTCAGCGCTACCATGGTGCTACACAGCGGCGACCGGAAGCAACACACTGGCCACAAAGCGATAGAGGGTTGCAGCAAACAGGGATCTCGAGTCGGTTTTCGGCAAAAATACCAGATTTTCACCACTCATTATCTCAGCGTAGGGGCATCGTAGGGACAAGCGGTTTGTTTTATATTAGCAAGGTAGGACAGCTGATCAATGATACCGCAAAGAATCGTCAAAATCAAATGGGCAAAGTTTCTTAATTTGACTAATACCAAAATGGTTTCAGCATTTCATTGTTGTACGCTCTCCTTCTTTATACGCTCTTGATAAAATTCTGTTTATGAAACATAGATTTTAACCTTGACGTGATGCGGTCATGATGCCGAGGCGAGCCGAGGCTTGACACTTTGTGTCCTCCAATCACAGCCTACGCCGCACCTCCCATTGAAATTTTTATAGGTGGGGACCCATCACAGTACCAAATCGCCGATCTCAGGAACTAGGGCATTCTGCTAGGCTAGAACGGTTTCCTACGATAGAGTTTGGCACAAAAACGAAAATAACACGCCGTTTAGCGCACTGCGCTACGTACTTCTGTTGCATTTTCGCATCTCCGTAATTAGAATAAGCCCCACCTTCTTCGTTGATGGGCATGAATGGGGCGTCACCGACGTGACCAGTTCCTATACCGACTGTGTTTACTTTTCGTAAATAATGAAATGCCCGGCCGATGCTAGACTGGTACCCGTTCGCCACCTTCACTCCGGCAAGTATCCTTCGCTAAACTGACGCTGTTAGTGTAGCGTGTGGAACTGTCGACCGGGTACCAGTCTAGGTCGATGCCAAACTGCATGCAGTGCACCTTCGTACACTCAGGATACTCGTAGATTGAGCCCATGAGCGAGAGCGCCATCTGTCGTGGAGTTTGGGCCGATGCGATGCATTTTCTGCGTTTTCTGCGTGATTATTATTTTGCGCAGGCTCATTTTCGAAATCCTCCAACATTTTTACTTCTTCCATTAAGTCCATGTTTTACTGTTATTTAGGAAGGAAGGTAAAACTGTGCATTCGTATAATTTCACTCTTGCTTCTATAGTATGATTTCCATAATTTTGCTCTTCTGCCCATGATAATATTTCCCTCATCATGAACCTACATTTTTCAGTTCGGACTCTTATCATATCGTTATAACCTCCTATATCATTAATTAAATCCCCTAGGTATGAATATTTAGTGCATTTTTTGATTACTTGGTTGCCTATTAATATCTCCTTCTCTATCCTTTCTTTGTTGGTGAATTTTATAACCATTGTATTTGTTTTGTTCATATTAAATTCTAATCTTTTTGATTCAGCTAATCTGGAGCATGACTGAGTGATTTTTGTTACTGTTTTATAATCTCCAATTCCTAGAATATCGTCCATATATAATCATTGTCATCTTCTAAAACTACAGACCATCCGCTGACCGCTGTGGAGACGTGCGCCGGGCCTCGAATTTGGCGCACGTCTCCATTGCGGACAGCGCTTCATACTTGAACATCTCCGCTGTCGCGTGCGCATATCCCGCGGAACTGCGCGTCTCATCCGCGCGCAGCGCTTAGGATCAACAGCAAAGCTGTGCCACGCAATCTTGTATCATGTCTCTCTGGATTTAACCTTGTGTTATTCTGGACATAATTCAGAAGGTTCTACTCGGTTTCTTGAGATTATTCAATATCGTTACCAGAATGAGATTCTAAATCTCATTCCTGATCAACTGATACTGGATCATTATCCTCAGGGTGGTACTGGGTCCTTCGCAGCTTTCTTTAACGCTTCGAAAATCTTCTGCCTCTAGCAGTATCTTTCTGCTAGAGATCAAATGCAGCTTCTGCATTATATTCTAGTACCTCCAGTATGGATTCTTCTTCTTCCAGCCAGTGGGCTGGTGCTAATTTTGCTCCCTATATATACATATTGTTCAGTTCTATTGTTGTGGCATGACACATGTCACAGGTGTATTATGATTTTATACAATTTGTTGCTTATTAAATCCTTTAATACTTTGTTTAATCTCTGTATTCTGATTATTTTATAGTTGCAGCAAATCTCCAGACAATTCTAGATTCTGCATCTAAAAAGAGTCTCACGTTTTCATTGGTAAGTAAAATTGTGCTTGGAATCTTCAATGAGGTTCTAAAAATCTTACCGGCAGCAACTGATACTGGTGCTGAACCATGCTATTTCTTGTAAATTATTCCATTGTATTTCTTTCATGTATAATGGAATCATTCTGACTGAATGTAGCTCCTTTTACTTTTCAGAAGTCTGGATGTGGGCCCAACCAGGCACCTGATGCAAAAGCTCTGATTGGCTTTGCTCAGCTTAGTATAATTGATGATGCCCAAATTCCGTCTTAGCCATGTACGGTTAGAGGCAGCTTCACTTGGCTAAAGCGATCAATTAATATAACTCTTGTTATGTTTGTCCCCACCTGGAGAATAACAGTAGCTGCACGTGGCAACACTGTATAAACGATGCACACTGGTAACGTGTGCAAGCAAAGAAGTTAAATGTAGCGAGTAAAGCATCGCACTGGAAGTTCAACAACGCTATTTAAAGGAAAGCATGCCCTATGCAGTGCAGATGATTCAGCATTTACAAGCAAGGACATTGCTGGAGCTTCCAACACTAAAAACTATGCCTGTTAGGTTAGTTCTGCCTAACGAGGCGATGCATTCTAATAGCTTATTAGCCATTATCAGAGACTCACACAGGCAGGTATAGGAAATGATAACAAAACCGAGACAGATATCTTGAGAAAAACGACCAAGATTTGTTAAAGGAGAATAGTGCAGGTTATGTGAAGTGAAAATGAGTTCTAAAATATCTGAGTTGCTGGAGACCTTCTTTTACTTGTTTTAGAGGTATGGTCATGTTGGTTATGTGAACTGATCTTTTTTGTTACTTCCGACGATGAAGTAACCCAGGTGGTGTGTGTTTGTCTACAGGTGTCACAGTTTATCATGCCAACATGAGGGACACCCTTTCTAATTGTACCACGGTGTGTATTGTATCACTTAGATGAGAATTCTGGCTTTCTCAATGGTAAAGTCCATCATCATAGAAAAGCTGTGTCAAAGCAACATTGTGCTTTGATGACTTCCTTCTAAAGCTATCATTAACGAATTTCTTACACTGGTTGCAAAGTAATTGCTGATTAAATTCATTATGTCACAATCCACAAAACTTGTGGCTTTTCTATAACGCTGCTTTTTTAAAACCCAGTCCTGCTCGATGCGTGAAATTGCTTGCATTTTCTCACCCTGATTTCCTGGTTAACTGACTTGCATGATGCAATAATAACATATTTCTACATTAAACTTCCTTTTTAACTCTACTGTGCTGAATGAATAAATAGGTTTACGTAGGATCGTCTAAATAGGGTTGTGTGTAAAAGTATATTCAGTAATTCAGGTTCAAGTTTCTTGGAAGGCAAGCATCTTCAAAAGGGTCATATCTTATTGGCTAGTGTAGTTTTGTACACTTTTAGGTGGAAATGAAATGCAGGAGGGTTAAACCTGCATCATGTCACAAATCACATACTGTAGCCCTATACGCTGTATATTTTGGGGTGGTTAAATTTTCGCGAATTTCGCGACCACGTCCCCGACCGCGAAAATAACAACACGCGAATAATTCATACCGAATAATTGATAATTCACCGACCGCGAAATTAACCACTCGGGAAATTGTCCGTCACGTCTGAATTCGCGAAAATATATGTACGCGAAATATATGGCATATACAGTAGGTGCGGTGATGTTCGACTATCACAGAAGTTTGTGTACACAACATTCCACACACACAGGGCCAACGTAGGTACTTTTGACTCGTTGGCTTTTGTATAGCAGTTAGAGATATATCTTCTGGAACTTGGAATTTTTAAGTGCGTTTCTTTCATTCTTGATTTGGGGCATTTTACAAAGACGAGTGTGATAAACGTAATGAGGAATGGTCGTAGAATATTACGAAGTGTCTTCGACTGTCTTCAGAGGGTGCCGAGTGTTTATATTTTTAGATTTGAAATACAAATGTGAAAGGCTGAATGGAGCATGTCTTTGGGATTGGAATTATCCGTAAGGAGCTAATTTACTTTGCTTGTCACCTCAGCTGTAACAGACTAGTGTTCCATCCATGGCGACTGTAAATATGTATGTAGTAACAGGTATCTACGTTTGGAAAACTGACGGAAACAAATGGCACGATTTGAATTGCATCCCGGTATGCGTGTATTGCAATGGCACTTGTCTCTTACTCTTATTAGCTAGCTTGGTTTAGGATTGTAAAATCTTGGGTTATAAAGATATTATAATAGACACTGATCATTTTCTTTGTAGTACTACCCCACATCATGAATGAATAAAAACAAATTACATTAAATTATTGTGATAAAAGTTTCGTTGTAATAAATGTTTTTATTCTCTCCTGATTACATAAATATAGTACCATAATTGTAATCCCGTCCTTTGAATACACATGAATTGCGTGTCGGTTGGTAATCACATTCACAATGGGTATTGCAGGTTTAGTGATGATCTTATTGTTATTGTGATAGGCAGGTCATGGCATCAGCGCAAGTGTTGACCAGTGTTTGGTCATTCACGTAACGTAAAGTCATGTTATAACAGTTTCTGAAAAGGGTTGAGAAAACATGTATAGGAGCCGTGCTACCAATAGGCAGACACATGTATGCGTAATGTGATGTGTGATTTGAGCTTCGACAGCTTTAAAATTGCTTGAATTTGTGCGTGCATCCTGAATCGTATAAAGGCTACAAACACTGAAGCAAATAGTACATACTAGATGCAGTGTGCGCTCTAGTTCATATTATCAAATACGGGCATATACGCCTGCCCATTTGGATAATAATTGTGTCGCACACATACCTGGTATACATGCATGCAATGCACCATTTGCTACAGTGTCCGTGAAAAGACGGTTGTGAAAGAAAGGGTCAAGATACGAGGTATATTTAGGTTTAAGAGAAAGTAAATCGGGGTTCTCCCACAGGAAATTCAGAAGACGTCATTAACGGACGGATAGGAAAGCACCCCGGAAGGGAGTTGTACTAGAAGTAAATTATGTATTATTGTCATAAATGTCTCTAATGCACAGGTAAACACGATCAGTTTGGAGACGTTCACATCAAGCTGTAAAATCACCATGACTGTGTTGGGATTGTCAAAAATTTACACAGCTGAATTAAGACTATCAGCCAATTGAGATATCTCAGAGGATAAATGGGATGCCACAAATTAGCTTTAGCATTGAAGGCATTTCGGACACGTGTTAGAGGCATGGGGAGAACCCTGTTAATCATACTGGGTGGTTGAGACTTGCTTGTTTACTGCTAGACATCTTTTTATTTGTGGAAAAGTAAGGCATTTTAATGATATTAAAATATAAATCAATTTTCAATATTTGTATATATCGTGAAGTATATATAAAGATGCATTACAATTTTGGAGAAAATTCTGTCAAATACTATAATTTTTCTGTGGAATAATTTTATCAGCACATTCATGACAACATATAACTTGCTATTAAATTTGTTTCTTGTTTTATTTTCCATATTTTTTTACAAAATAGTTTATACATACATGATCACGTAAATTGGAGGACTGTTAACAATAGCTTGGTTTATCACAGTGCTTTTATTTAGCACGGATAGTCAAGATAAGTAGGCTACCTTCTCAGAAATAGTAGACTGGGAAAAACAGGGAATATATATGGAGCTTCCATTAATAGGCAACTAAGTAATGCTCAAGTAAGAGAGGTTCATTGAACATTAAAAGCAATTAGAACCCATGAGGTCATGAAGCACGGGAAATCTGTGACGTGTCACCGGTCACAATTGCTGGTCACGTGATTGCAAGCAATCCATAAGTTTGTTGGTCGATAAATGGAAGCAGCTTCGGTTGGCTTCAGCGCGTCTATGCTTTACACATGGCAAAACGCACTACTACTACTACTACTGGCACTTTAGTTACTTATTAATGAGGAGTTAGTGGACAGCGTTTCAATCCACAGAACTTTGCCCAGGTGATTAGATGGCCAACTATCATATCACACAAATCCACTGACGACATGAAAATAGTTTTCGACTGTGACTAACTGCATCTGTTTCTGGGGAGATGCTTAACAGTTAATTATAACTGCTCCGCGTGCGTTGGTGTGGTAGCGGGCTAGAGGGCAGCCACTGCTATACTGTAAGTGGTGTAACGGACTGGTGCAGCTTGGTGACAGCCGTCTGCACCATCTGCTGTAGTCCGTCGTCTTCTTTACACGTGACCTCCTGTAAAGTAAGTGACGATTAATGCCAACTCTACTCTCCCAAACGCTACCCACTAAATTGGCTTGGAAACTAGTGTTGTCAATCGGTTGTAATTTCCTAATCGATCATCGGATGGACCCCAGTAACCGATGATCGGTTACAATCGGTTACTCAGGGTGTTGAATGCCTGCGTGTGCGTAACGTCGTGTGCATGTACGTGTGTGCATGTATGTGCTTGTTTAGCCCTGTTTACTGTTTGTTTTGCACTGTTTACTACTGTGTGTATAATAAATGCATGTTAATAAAGGATAACTTGTATAGTAGCGATGATATTGAGGCACCCTCATCACTTTTCCAAGTTTTCTTGTTAAAGTTTTACATTTATTTCGATTTTTTTTTTTTCCGATGAAATCGATTATGGATTTTGATAACCAAGCGCTTGGTTCGAGCCACTGTTCAACCGATGATCGAGTATAATCGATGATCGTGACATCACTAAGCGCTTGGTTCGAGCCACTGTTCAACCGATGATCGAGTATAATCGATGATCGTGACATCACTATTGGAAACTATCACAGTATGGCTTTGAACAATATATGTAAAACCCACACTAATTGTTACTCAGTAATGCCTATTTTTAACCTTCAATTAATTCTGTACTTAATTATCTTGTAGCGCTCGCCTTATCGACTCATTTGTGTAAATTCCTCGATCCACATGTAATACAAGATAAACAGGGGTGTGCTATTAAAGATGGTAACATGAGGTCAAATTGGCAACTCAAGGAAATTTCCAAGGGATAATATATTTAACTATAGGCATCTATTAATAATGAATGATGAATAATGAATGAAGCACCAAACGTTCCTATGAAACTAGGTTCCGAAATGTATTCAAGGGAAGAATTGGGCTAATCTTTCAGGAATTACAGAGGTCTAGACAAGGCCACTATAAATAATTCAGCATGCTGGTTCCCCTCACCAATGTGTCGAGATCAATGGTGGCCGTCTTCCCATCTACAGTTATCTGTGTCCTGTCGGCCTTGTAGACTTTACTTAGGCACTCATTACCAAACATGTCTGCCAGCAGTTCGATGAGGCATTCCTTGAAGTGCATTCGGTCGACTTTCATAGGTGTCGACAGCATGTCTGCAAGCAAACAACATGGCAAGGTCATGAAAAGTAGCTCATTGGTTGCTTTCAAATTCACTGTGGCCAATACAATAGATATGTGTGCATAGAATTATGTCTAATAATTACTCAATAACAGTTATTATCCTCCTGTATTTGTTGGGGATATAGCTTTGAACTGTCCAATGTCACTCTCATGGATGATCGTTTTGCTAATAGACGACATGACATGATGACATGACATAGATGACATCTTGCATGGTTGACAAAAAGGCCCTAATAAATGTGTCCATCAATACATAACCAACCGCTTGTCTAGTTCACCTAGGAGACATTGACAATTATAACATTATCACGACATACAACATGTATGCGTGAGTGGCATGGGGATCAGCGGCCATTGTATGACGCTCTTAGAAATACAAATAAACGTCGGTTCATACCTTCACGCCAAATCTAACAAGAGCCGCAGAGCGTCTGGGCTCATCTGAGGTCTGTTGCTACGATTATAAACGTAAAATTTCAGTCGTGCGTAGTACCACATTTGTTAGGCGCAGATATGCAGACACGCAGTTGCGTACACATCATTGTTAGGACACGCGCACTAACGCAGATGGAGGGTAGGGAGAGGGTGGAGGAGGGTGAGGGAAGGGGCGGGGAGAGG